CTTTTCTAAGGAGAAACTAGAACTCACCATCTCCTAGTCATTGGCCCAAAGTCACCCAGGTGGAACTAGAACTCACCATCTCCTAGTGATTGGTTCAAAGTCACCCAGCCAGCTTTTCTAAGGAGAAACTAGAACTCACCATCTCCTAGTCATTGGCCCAAAGTCACCCAGGTGGAACTAGAACTCACCATCTCCTAGTCATTGGTTCAAAGTCACCCAGCCAGCTTTTCTAAGGAGAAACTAGAACTCACCATCTCCTAGTGATTGGCCCAAAGTCACGCAGGAGGAACTAGAACTCATCATCTCCTAGTGATTCACCCAAAGTCACCCAGCCAGCTTTTCTAAGGAGGAACTAGAACTCACCATCTCCTAGTGATTGGCCCAAAGTCACCCAGGAGGAACTAGAACTCACCATCTCCTGCTGATTGGCCCAAAGTCACTCAGCCGGTTTTCACGCCAAAGGCGGAACTAGAATTCCCCGTCTCCCGTTTTCTAGCCCAGCACCTTCACCACATTTCCCTCGCCTGTGACTTGGTCTTTGTGGTGTGCTGAGGGGGGGGGGGCGTAGGGAAACACCTTTTGTGCCACTTCCACCCCCCCTCCCCAGGTGAGACCATCGCCGCCTTCTGCCTGACCGAGAACACCAGCGGCTCCGACGCTGCCTCTATCAGGAGCAGAGCTGAACTCAGCCCCTGCGGCACCTACTACACCCTCAACGGGAGCAAGCTCTGGATCAGGTGAGGCGGACTAGTGGGCAGGGGGGGGGGCAACAGGTGAGGTGCCCCCTCCCCATCATCCAGAGGAAGGGTCCTTGAAATACAGGTGGTCCTCGATTTAGGAGAGTTCATTTAGTGACCGAGATTTCAACAGTGGCCGTTAACCAAACCCAGTGGTCATTAAACAAATCCAGTGGTCATTAAGCAAATCCAGTGGCCATTAAGCAAATCCAGTGGTCATTAAGCGAATCCAGTGGCCGCTAAGCAAACCCAGTGGCCATTAAGCAAATCCAGTGGTCGCTAAGCGAACCCAGTGGTCGCTAAGTGAACCCAGTGGTCATTAAACAAATCCAGTGGTCATTAAGTGAATCCAGTGATCGTTAAGCGAATCAGGCTTCCCCGTGGACTTTGCCCCTCAGAAGGTCACAAACACCGTTGTAAATACATGCTGGTTGCCAGGTGCCCACGTTTGTGGACCGATAGGATGCTGCGACGGTCGTAAGTGCGAGGATAGGGCGCAAGCCGACGTTTCTCAGGGCCGTTGTAACTTCGAACGGTCGCTAAACGAACAGCCTAAGTCGAGGACAGTCTGAAGAAGATTAACAAACCAGAACCGAAACAACAGAAATAATAATAATAATAATAATAATAATAATAATAATAATAATAATAATTAATATTAATAATAATAATAATAATAATAATAATAATAATAATAATAATAATAATAATAATAATAAAGTTGGAAAGGATCTTGCAGGTCATCTAGTCCAACCCCCTGCTCAGGCAGGAAACCCTATATCAATAACAACGGTTCAATTCCGGGAAGGGGGGGTTCTGCATGGGGGGGGCACGTTTCCTGGGTGAGGATCCTAAAATTGCATCTTTCCTCACCCAGCAATGGCGGCATTGCCGATATCTTCACCGTTTTTGCCAAAACGCCGCAGAAGGACGAGACGGGGAAGACAAAGGACAAGATCACGGCGTTCGTGGTGGAGCGGGCTTTCGCGGGGGTCACCAGGTGAGGTGTTGAGGGGACATCCCCCCCCAATGTCTGAGCACTGGATTTCGCATCCTTTAGGGCAGGGGTCTTCAAACTTGGCCCTTTTATGACTTCTGGACTTCAACTCCCAGAATTCCTCAGCCAGCCTCCATTTTGTTGTTAGATTTAAGACAGGGGTCTTCAAACTTGGCCCTTTTATGACTTGTGGACTTCAACTCCCAGAAGTCCTCAGCCAGCGTGCCTGGCTGAGGAATTCTGGGAGTTGAAGTCCACAATTCACAAAAGGGTCACAGTTCCCTCACACCAGCTGAGGAATTCTGGGAGTCGAAGTTCGCAAGTCATCAAAAAATCGTAATTCCCTCACGCCGGCTGAGGAATTCTGGGAGTTGAAGTCCGCAAGTCATAAAAGGGTCGTAATTCCCTCGCGCCGGCTGAGGAATTCTGGGAGTTGAAGTCCACAAGTCATCAAAGGGCCAAGTTTGAAGACCCCTGCTTTAGGGTGCTGAGCAAAGGGGGGGGAGAGATGGCCAGCCCCCCCCCGAGCCGGTGGGGTGGGCAGAGAAGGACCCCCCCTCTCTTTGGGTGTCTAATTCCCTCTCGTGCCCCCCCAGTGGCCCCCCCGAGAAGAAGATGGGCATCAAGGGGTCCAACACGGCCGAAGTCCACTTTGAAAACGTCCGGGTGCCGGTAGAGAACGTCCTGGGTGCGCCAGGCGCCGGCTTCAAGGTGGCCATGAACATCCTGAACAACGGGCGCTTCGGCATGGCGGCGGCCATGGCTGGCACCATGCGGGCGCTCATCCAGAAAGCGGTGAGCGCCTCTGGGCCCCCCACCCCACTTTCTTCTCCCCCCTCCCTCCCTCCCCGGTATCCCCTCATACAG